CCCCGCAGCCCGGCGTGCTCTTCTTCGCGGACGATGACAATACCTATAGCCTGGAGCTCTTCCAGGAGGTGAGCCGGGTGGAGGTGCCAGGAAGTCGGGTCGGGGCAGGAGAGGGGCTTCCCTTCCCGGGCGTGGGAGGCGCCCTGCGGAGCGCAGCCACTCGCGCGTGTCAAAGTGCGGGCGTCGCATCCGCAGCCTCGCCCCCCGCCCTCCACGCGCCTGCTTAGAAGTAAAACCTCCCCTGAGTCGAAGGGGACTTAACTCCTGGGTAAGGGCGTCGGGGAGGGTCGCCTGAGGCCCAGTGCCGCCGGCGCAGGTTTCTCGCCGCCGTCCAGTCCAGCCCGGCGGGTGGGACGCACTTGTGCGGTGCCTCGGAGCCCCCCTGCCAGGTCTCGCCGCTCGAAGGCCTCTCCTTCTTCTCCTCCTCCCCCCCACCCTGGGGGGCGCCTTTGCAGGCGGTGGTGGCGTCGCCCGGCCCAGGTTCACGCCTTTCCCTCATCTGTGTGAGCGGCGCCTGCGGCTTCCCGCCCTTTCGGAGTCCGCTCGGGGCAGCTCCCTGGAGCTCGACGGGTGATTTCCTTCAGCTTCCGCGCGCCCCGTTCCGCTCTCGCTCCCGGCGGGCTCCGCTGCCCCTGGCATTGCCCATCCCGTGCCCTCTTTCGGGGTCTCGTGCTTCCTGACTCCCCCGCACTCCTCAGGCGCCCGGCCCGCAGCCACTTCCAGGACCCGAGGCTCTGTCCCGGCTCCTTGGAAAGGGGCGCTCGTACTTTAACGAGCTGCAGCACGGAGCTGATGTTTCCTCGCCTTTAGGCATTGTTGCTGTTATACGTTGTTGCTGTTTGATGTGAAGCCGAAGGGAGAGAGAAATCCTGTTTCTTTCTAGGGGCCCAGCAGTAATGGAAGAGGGGAAGCATAGAATTTAGCGCTTAACATACTGTATATGTTCGGAGTATGGAAAGAAATATTAAGGGATCACCTTTGAACATGCACAGAGTACCTCTCAAGACTAGGATGCTGACATACCATCAGTATATTTATTTATGTCATTTATTTATGTACCACTTGACTTAGTGTGTCAGGCACAACTCTAGACACAGCTTACAATCAAATAAAAAGAAAATTCATTTAGAAATAACCAGATCAGAAGGTATGCATTTGCCATGTATAGCAGTTTTTCTACAGTTCATGTCAAATAGGGCCAAGAAGACCTTGAATGACCAGGTGCTGTACTGACAAACCATACATCTGAGTGCCTTTGATTTTTGCTTCATTCTTTTGCTCCACTGGTAGACCCCTGTTGGGGCTTTAATCATTTTTTGGGGGTTTGAAATGATTTTATCCTGCTTTGCAGCTCCTAAGCAACTTTCAGAAAATTCCTCACATTAGAATCACTTGGAAGAAGGATGATTAAGGTAGAGCTCAAAGGGCTCCTGTTCTATTTTTATTACTTTAGCTGTCTCTTCCTCCTCCTCTTTTTTACTTTATGGGAGAACTTTTTACGAAAATCATGAGTTCTTGTTATGTTCCTTGCTGTAAATTCCTCCAGAATGATCTATTCTGTCTCTCATAATTGCCCACTCCTTGGAGCTTGCCTGTCTTCCTGTTAAAAACAAGAAGAGTGGGTGGAAACAAGTGAAAAATGCATTTATCCAGCGACTAAACGTCATGTAATATGTCTCTATTGTGTGATGAGAGAAAAAGAATCATTTTTCTTAATTATGAGCTCTAGATTGAAGGCAAGCTTTTCAACGCTCACTTTCTCCTTCCCTATCTCTTTTGAAATGGAAGTTGTTATTAAATATTTGGGAAAGATGTGATAGAGAACTGAAGGAAGTTGGCCAGGTTTTGCCCCTTTGATTTTCCCACTGGCAGGAAGATGCCAAGTAAAAGGGGAGACATCAAACAGTGCAAGAAAGACAGAAATGAAAAATGTGTAAGGTTTGCAAGAGAACTGCATGTGTATAGGGACGGTAGCGTAATGTGACCGGCAAGGTACATAGATCCTTATACCCCTCTCAAAATGGGTTGTCTTGCTGGCTCTTGAATGTATGATTTAATACAGAGAGTTTCCATATCTTCCAAAAATACAGTTGTAACTCATCTGACAATAATCTTCACAGATAAGAATTTCACAGAACTTGATTAAGTTAACAGGTTTTCTTTTCTTTTTGGCTTTGGCACCACCTTGAGGGGGTTGCTACATGCAAATCGACTCCTGGATTTTGCAGACTAGGGCAGGTGCATTTAGAGTCTGTAGATTAAAGCCAAGGCACCATGGAAAAGACACATCCGAAATTGCACATCTGAATCTCCAAAGAACCCTTTCAGAAGGGCTTGCCCAATCCTACGGATATGTGCTTAGATTTTGAAATGGGTTTGGGTCTACTTCAATATGCTCTTGGCAGCTGTTACCACTTTCCTCTCCAACCCTGGTCCCCTCATTCAGCAGAAGAGCCTTTCCTTATGTGTGAGCCATACTTTTTTTGGAAGTGGCTGAAAAGGCCTTCATTTATTTCTCACTAAACTGTGGGAGTCTGTGAGCGGCTCTTCTAAGGCTGAGAAATTTCCAGCATTCATCTTCGTGGCTGTAATTATGTCAACTGAGCTTTCTGGGAAGAAGGAGTTTTACTAGTGGTGGAGGGTTGTATTTTGCCCAGAATCTGTCCTGTTGCCTGAAGAAGTATTGAAGGGAAAAAATGTGTTGAGAGAAAGAGACCATTGTTTTCTTAAAATCTAAATTTCTGCTGTAAATAAAATACTGCTTGCTAGGAAAGGAAGAAATGAGCTGTAGTAAGCACCAGCCCAGGTGAAAACATACCAAATGAGGGCGCTGCTGAGTAACCTTTAAGAATATGCTTCCACATTGGGTTTGATTTATGTTTTTTTTTCAGTGGTTATTTCCAAGGACA